TGGAATATAAATTGTCATATTCTGGAGGATGATGTCAATAAAAATAAATGCATACATACATATACACGTGAACACACACAAGGGAAAATGTTTCAGTGTATACACACATATTGATTACCAATTAAAACAATATTAGGAAAAACAAAAAGGAAACACCTGAAATATATACAGTATATTAATACAATTAATTGCCATATCTGAATTGTACAAAATCAGTGTATAGCTCCTGGGGACATGGTAAAAAGTTCTTATAAAACAGGAATGATCCAATAAGGCTCAAAACAAGGAAGGGAAATAGCTGTTGAAAGATACGGACAGAATTAAAAGGTCAGAGGAAGGAAGGAAAGAACAGATATGTGATGGAAAACATAGTACAATGCAGGTATGAATACAAAATTAGATAATGAGATTATCAGTATAACAAACAGGTCAATGTCCTTTTCATACAAATTCTGAGTATGGGTTATACTTGGCCTTCACATCACCTCACCTTTTAAGCTGGGTCTGTGTATTACCATTATCTGTCTAGTCTATCTGTCAGTTTTATTATCTACTTCATTTATAAGAGCAGGCTCCAACCAGCAAGCATATACCACTTTGCAGTTTTGTATTATGCAAATCTTTCAGCAATGTAAGGACATCAGCAATGTGCAATGATCTTGAAGATAATCTTAATTTGCTTCTTTTGTCTGGTCCCATTAGGCAGATTTTCAGAATCAGGACAAAGAAAGTTTCTTTATATTGCACTTAATGCTATTGAGAAAAGCACAGAGCATCATGTATGAGTCAGAGTACTCACTGCAATCCTGTTTTGAGATAACCCATTTCAAACTAGCTTAGTTGTATCTGTGTGCAATACAGACTGTGATCTTATGCTTTAACGAACATAACAGACCTCATAATCACCACTCTGTACCCTTCACATCCAATATGTTTACCATATGGCCCATTCACCTTCACATCACTTTTGCTGTCTTTGTTGAATGATACACTTTCATATTTAATCAAGGCCAAAATGGCTCCAAAGAAAGCCTTTAATTAATAATGCATTTCAGTGGCTATAATTGACCTGCTTTGAAGCACAAAACAAACTATTTTATCATTAGCTAGCTAGTGGCTAACCCTTCCGAAATGCATCGGTTGTGATATAGATGTGAAATAGGCCTCTTGTTGCTTATTTCACCTTTTTTAAACTTTTTTATGTTGAGAAATGTGAGGCATTTTACAAAATGCATGAACTCAGCATGCTGTGTGGCCTACTTCTTGCTACACAACAAAGATGGAGGAAATGGAGTCTGAAACCGAGTTTCCAACCGTCTTGCTGTGACCTTCATAGGCAATGTGTTTCTGAAGGAGTCATTACATTCTCATTCTGTTGGTAATCATTCTTGTTGTTTGAGAGAGAATATAAAAATGACTACAAATAGTTCCTCTTTAAATACAACTGGAGCTCTGAGCTCAATATGACTCTATTCGCTGTGAACAAATACTTTTTAAAATAATCATTAAATCACATTAAAAACTTTTTTTTTTTAAAAAGCAAGCATGTTTTATAAATAGTTTTTCACAAATATTAACACAATGAGTATGATATTTGTATTGAAAAATGTCAATCTTCAGCTTTCATTCGATGCAGGACTTGCAGGAATCTGTATGCATGATTACGAAAACAACCATTTTATCAATTATAATGCATGCGTGAAATGTGTGACTTGACCTTGAAGGATCTTTGTACTGGAAACAATATTTCAGAGCCTGATTTTTGGTGACAGCACATCCTCCATGCAGTGTTTACAAGGGTTAGCAGTTGTGCCGCAGAGCCTGTGAACCTCCATGATGGTCATTAAGCCTTTTCCCCATGTGCAGTGACAGATTGAGCATCTTTTATCTTAGCTTAGCTTTCAGCTCACCGATATGAATGTTTTCCCGCCAGTGATATGACTCACTGTTACGGCTGGCTGTCAAATGTCTGCCGTACAATAATTAAATCATTTTAGCACTCGCACACCGACGCTAGTCCGGCATATCCATCACATCTTTGTTCTTTCATCACAAAGCCGAGCTGCATCCGAGCAGATTGGCGTATTAACACCTCCTCGACTTTTGTTTCTCCTCTTTTTTTATTTTCTCGCCGCACACCCATGCACAGCGTTTGATTAAAAAGACTTTTCGTTGTTTTTTTTTTCTTTAGCAAGGGTCCCGTGCTCAGATGTGAAGCAGGGCTATTAATTACTATGCCATTTACATGAACTGATGGTTCTCGCTCAATGCATGTAAATGTAAATGTGGCTGCAAATGTGACCAGGAGATAAATGAAAACGAGTCAGATGGGTTAAAAAAATAATCCATTCCTGGCCGATCAAGCCAAGAGTGAAAGAGAGTAAATGAACAAAAAAAAAAACTAATTTTCATAAAAGCATAATGTTCACTCAGCATCTCTTTTACCAGGAATTGTGATTGTTGCAGCCCAGGTCAACTACCATAGACAAGTTGATACATGTGCATCCCCTCTATAAGTGTTTGATGGATTTAGAGAACAGTTATTCAAATATTACCTTTGGTTCCCTGAATTTAATATGTCATTTTATATGCATTTTATTTCTTTATGAAAAAAAATGTGTCTGTATTATATGCATTGTATTGAAAGTGTACTTTTACTGTATTCCAAATTAAATGCATGTTTATAAAAACCAGTAGATAATATAAATGAAATAAAAGGCCACTTAAGAGAATACACTTTAACTACTGCTTCTAAACACACTTAAGTACTCTTTTAAAAAAGTGCATTATAATGTTATTTTTTAAAATTGTACATTTTAAATCAAACATTTTTTTTTTTTTTTTTTTTTAAATGACTTTTAAAATACTTTATCCTAATTGTATAACTATAGTGTGTTCTAAATGCTATTATATTATGCTGTAAATGTTCTAAATTGCAACTTTATCATTACAAATGCATAATTACAAATATATTTAAATTTATGACATGCAAGTGTCAGTAGAAATGACATTAAAGTATAATTTAGTTTACCAGAAATGCTTTTAAGTAGCCTACACTCGGCAGTACTTTAACCGTATTTTAAATACTTTATTGTTGTTGTGTTTTTGCTGTGGTGACAAAATTCATACAGAGCAATAATTTTCAACCTTTACAGACCCAGAGACCAGGATTGTGTTAGTTGTCTACTTCAGTAGTATCAATCAATTGAATCAACTCCTCAAGTTCAGAAATATTTAATGAGGACAGGGTCAGGATTAAGAGTAAACGCCTGTGGTCATTATCACACTCGATATAGCTTCTTCTTTTTTTTTCAGAAATAAAAGCACCATTCATTTACCTCCCAACATCTGCACCAAGCATTGAAGTAACAGCAAGACTTTGAAGAATTTTCATCTTTTAAATAACATTCTAACATTCTTCATCACATATTTACCCTCTGAACTATGTGATTGGTTCATAGAATGCTAATTCATGGTTTTAAATCACTGGTTTCTTAAAAGAAGAAGTCATTGCAACAAAATAATCTGTCTCACTTTATATTAAAGGGACAGTTCACCCAAAAATGAGAATTATGTCATCATCAACTCACCCTCATGTTGTTCCAAACCTGTATGAGTTTCTTTCTTCTGTTGAACTAAAACTAATATATAAAAAAAAAAAAAAAAAAATGTTGGTAACCAGACAGTTGACGTTAGCCATTGACTTCCATGGTTTTTTTCCCCTACTTTTCCTACAGTCATCTGTCTGGTTACCTGCATTCTTCAAAATATCTTCTTTTGTGTTCAACAGAAGAAAGAAATGCATACAGGTTTGGAACAACTAATTCTACTGGTTTAGACCTACACCAAATGTTGGATATTTAGTTACATGATTTCAAGTCGCTGAAGCATTATCATCTCAGATAAACATCTTTTGTCATGTGTCTTCCCAACAAAATCTGTCGCCACCCAGATCAACGGTGTGTTATGCCTCTGTAGCCGCCAGTGATAAAATCACATCTCCCCCCATGTTTTTAAAGACGGAAGTAAGCGAATCACATCAGTGAGCGTATTTTTTTTTCTTTTCTGTACAATCACTCTCTTTATCATTGTCAGCAGTCTGATGAACCCCTGGTGAGCGCGGTCCGTTTGTACAGCTCTGAGACTGTCTTCCATTTGCATAGATATGCAAACCCCAGTTACATCTCGTTGTGTTCGCTGTGATGCTATCAGACTCAACTCACATAAATCCATTCGCCACATGCTACTTATCTGGGCCATTGTTCCGTCCTACATATTCTAAAGCGTGTTAAGCTAGCGCTCCATATGCAAAAAAGAAAAAAAATACATATGGCGCCATAGTAAATGATCCATATCTCGTCCCACAAAACAGGGCAGGAGTTGTATATGTTCATGTTTAAATGTTATCCGAGGCATCTCTTCAGAGCTGTGCTTGAGTTCTCATTACATTAACGCATTTTTTTTTAGAGTGTCTATTGTATCTTTAGTGGACAGGAAAAGAGCTCTTTGTGTTTTCATTTGTTGATAGCCTTTGTCAGTATCCTTTCCTGTCGTTGAAGCCATAAAAACAAGAGACTGCTGAGAGCCTTTGCCTCTTTTATGTCTTCTTTCTGCCTCATTTAGTTTCACAAAGTGCTGAATTTACTTGATGTCTTTGTGTTTGTTTGCACAGAAGCTTTTAATGTAACTCTCTGATTTACTTTCTTGGCGGGAAAGTCAATCGGAAAGACATAAAGTAAACCTCTCCGGAGTAACCTGTTACACCTAATGTGTGGTTGTAAAAGAAGATATAGGAGAAAAATGGGGTAAAGGTGGGCTAATGGTAATGATCAGGGCTGCTTGTGCAAATGTTAAATCTTATACAGGGGTGACCCTGGTATCAGAGAGTTACTGGGATTGAAATTCTGCTTTATCAGCATTGTGCCCTTGAGGGATTTAAACCTTGGTTCCTTCGGGAGAGCCGTCTCTGTAATTAGTGTCTCTTGTCTTTCTCCTCTCAGGAACCTCTCAAAACGTCACTCTCCGGAGCCGCTATCACTGCAGAGGGGGTCGCGAGATCAGCGTGAGCCAGCTGTGTGACTTCAACCCTGACTGTCCACAAGGGGACGATGAGGGAGAACATTGCCGTGAGTATTAGTGGCGTCCATTTGGAGGACGAGACAGCAGACGGGGGCTCAGGAGGTCAGCAGTCACTCTTTAATGAAGCCAGCGTGTGCTTGCCCATCATATAACAGAAGTTGTGTTTATTGGACGTTGTAGAGTTGTTCTGCTTCAGTGGCCAGTGTCATCCCGGACACACTCTTTCTCAAAAAAGAATAAAAAAAATGGGATAACTCTAACCCCATAGACTGTAACCCTATATATATATATATATATATAAAGGATTTATTTGTCTTACGCTAATTAACTTATCTCTTATTTTAGATATAATTAACTATTTTTATACATAGTTTGGAATAATGGCTGAAAGTATGGAAGATTGTTTCCGCCATGGAATAAAACATTTAAAAGATAAATGCGACTTTTTATCCCACTCTTTTTTTTTCACAATTGCGAGTTATAATGTAAGTATTGTGAGATATAAACTTGCGATTCTCGCTTTTCTTCCTCTCAATTTTGAGTGTATATCTCGCAATTCTGACTTTTTTCCTCACAATTGCAAGTTTATATCTCACAAATTATGACTTTACAGCTTGCAATTGCAAGTTTATATCATGCAATTGCGAGAAAAAAAAGTCAGAATTGTGTCAGAAAAAAACCTATTCAGTGTTTTTTTTTTTTTTTTTTTTGTGGCAGAAACAGGCTTCCATATGTAAGGACCTTTGAAATAACTGAAATCATTTGGCGAAGTGATATGGAACTGTAATGTTGTCAAGACCTGCCTGGAACTACTTTAGCCATGCGGTTCTTAGAATGTTCGTCAACCAATTAGATTCAAGCATTCAACAGCCCCCGTAGTATAAATATATACAGTATATGGCAGTATATAAATATGGCAGTCATCCAATACTATGGTATTACGACCTGATTCGTGCACCATGTTACTGCCACGGTACTTTTTGTAAGGATATTGTAAATGTAAATAGTATAACATGCAATTTATTCTGCTTTCAAGCCTAATAACAGTAGCAGAGTGAAACCGGTATTGAAAATACATGTAAATTAGAGGGATGAGGTGAACATACGTACTTGTGCTTGCTGCTTTATTCGTTTCACTGGATTGGGAGTTTTGACAGCATATTTCAGTCACAACATCAGAGCAACATTGTACTTTTAAACACTTCACCACTGAGCAATTTCAGTTCATATGACACATCTCCCACATTTAGGCCATTTTCCTCTGTAATTTTCTCAATCGCTCTGTCTGATGGGTCCACCTTTACCTATCATTCCCTGCTGCTTCATTTCTGCAGTGGAACTCCTCTTTCCTCAAAGATCAGCTGCTCACACTGTCCTGATCCTGTCTAGCATGATGCAGTCATCAATGATCATCCCATCCGCCTCGCAAGCGCAGCACAGATATTTCCAGAAGCTTTTCGACAGCAATCTCATCCTGTGTCATTCAAATCGTACATATTCGTTGTCATCTTTTCTCTCTCTTTCCCTGTTATTACTCTCCATGCTAATCCTCATGAGCGTGGTCACGCTGGTCGATGTGTTTACTCTCTCCTGGTTAATGGCAGTGAGTTCAGGGCTGTATCATCTCCCCTCAGCGGATGATTAGCTGATCCTACCTCACACCTCTCCGATCAATACTGTGCAGAAGCTGTAATCAAATGTCTGTGGGTCCACCTGCAGTGCTACTGGACGAAAAAGAATGCCAACATTTTGAGATTGAACAAGATTCTGAGTGTTGTTTATTGTTAGAACAAAGCTAAATGTCACTGATTACGTTCGATATGCCACCACAGATATTAATATTGATTAGCAACCTGCTAATCAGTCATTTTCGAAACCCGTTCAGCACATTTAACTTGCACAACAAGAATGTATTTGTGTCTTTAATAAACTTTGTTGCTATAAGCGACTTCTGAACACCAGATGAAGAGATCTGCACAGGACACTGCAGTTGTCCTTACCCTATATAAGGTTTTAAACTTTTAAAGTGATCTCACAAAGTATATCAAGAACATCAGGGTCATATCTTAACCCAAAATCAAAATAATAGCTAATATATCATTTTTCTTAATAAGTGTTTTGTTTTGTTGTCGTTTCATTTTGTCATCTTAACATCCTTGTTCTTGTTTTAAGGTGTAATATTTTGCTTTTTTTTATTACGGAGCACCACATGACATGCTGGGGAAAAATGCATTACCCACTGAATAACCATTACTGTTATGCACTTGCTATTTATTTGTTTGTCGATCATTTATTTATGTATTTAAATACAACTCCTTGTTTATTTATTCATCAATCAATCAAATAATCAATAAAATTGGAAGTGCTGTGTCACAATTCACATACTATCCGTCCTGAATTGTATTTGAAATTAGAATTAGTGTCCCAATACGTAGTATGTTGAAATGAGTATTCCAAAGATACCATGGATGGTCTACTTTTTCCGGGTTGAATCCGAAGTGCAGATCCGTGCACACTCTAACGCCTAATATTGTCCAAAATCCATTGCGCATTGGACGAGGATAGTAGTAATTAACGGTGACAGGATGCACGTAACAAAGCTATCCGTTAGACACAATTATGATAAAGTAGTATGTCCCAAAGCTTGCCTACTCTTCTGATACACACTCAAAATATGTACTTTTTCTTCACAAAAACAGTATACTTTTAGGGCAAAGTATATGCAGGCGAATTGGGACGCTATTACTGCCAGATCTTAACAATCTTAAAAATCTCATCTTTCGATTACTTTTAAAATAAAATATTGATATAGACGCACAAGGTCTTAAAATAAAGAGGTTCAGGCAAGGTTGTTTCAGGGAAAAGCATGAGTCTGTCAGTTTATACATTATTTATTTTTCACTTAAAACAAGGAAAAAAGATCATTCTGTTTTCTTTATTTAATTTACTTCTTTATTTATTAACCAGACATTTATAATCACTCTGTGCTCATGAATGCGTCCACCGCTTGGAAGCATATCCTTTTAAATGCCTAGATTGTATGAACACCTGGAGCAAAGCTTGTAAGTTACATGCCATCAGGCAATTCATCTACTGTAATGCAGTCGATCGCTGGAAGGCAACCATGTTTCTTCCCCCCGTGTTTCTTAATGAAGGTCAGACACATCCCTGCAGCCCTCCACAGGCTTGAATGAATTGTCTGTTGATGGAATGGCTTCTAATATTGCCTTCCTACACACTTTCTTTCCAGCCTTTCTGTTCCTTTACCTCAAAACAATATCCTCATCTGCACTCAGAAACACTCTCCACTACCCTCTCATGCCTCTTTAGACATTCAAAAATGGTCAAAGACTATCTCTCATCAAAGCGTCTAAGCTCTTACGCTGAGGGATAAGATTGTTAGCACATATTTATCTTGGTTCCACTTTATTTCGATAGTCCGCTTTAGACATTCTACTAACTATAAGTAACTTTGCAACTACATGTCAACTAACTCTCATTAGAGTATTAGTAGTAGACTCTTAGGGTTCGGGTTAGTAGAATAAGTAGCTGCCAAGTTACTTATAGTCAGTAGAATGTCTGTTGGGGAGGATCAAAATAAAGCGTTAGCAGATATTAAGCAGACACCTTACTAATACTCTGATCACAGTTAGTTGACATGTAGTTGCAAAGTTAATTATAGTCAGTAGAATGTCTAAAGTGGACTGTCGAAATAAACTGGAAACTTTTCTTTTTCTCAGGTCTCTCAGTATTCTCAAAATGTCTCATTTTCTTCTCTCACTCAACCAGGTCAGTTCCTCAACGGCAGCTATTGCTCGTTCGGGAGAGAGGATTGCAGCTGGCAGCTGGTTCCAGGAAGGGGTCCGCAATGGAGGGCCCATCCGTCCATTCCCCAAGGCCTCAGAAGCAGCTGTCCATCACCAGGTGCTCTGCCTAAACGTCTTAAGTTCAAGTCTAATCAACAAAAAAGACTTGCAAGCACAGGGTTAACAGTGAAAAATTAAAAACAAAGTGAAATTATTTAGGCAGACATGGTTAATAAATCATCTTTATTAAAGATTGACAATAAGCTTTTGACTGGTTATAGTCGGTCTTTCATGTTCCATCATTCCTCTGGGTGGTTTGTTTCATGTCTTTCATCACTCTGTATGGCAGGGGCCTTGCTGGCCATCGACAGTCAGCCCAAAGGTCAGCGAGGATCAGCGCAGGTGCGAAGCCCGCTTTTCTTCTACCCCCTGCGGAACGCCCCGTGCATGGTAAGAAGACTACGCCGTTTCTGCATTCCACAAGTAACCATAATGCACGGAATCTCTGTGCAATGGGTCTCTGGATCTCTGAGGAAATGAAGTTCTGAACAGTTTCCATCGAGTCTTATTTGCAAATGCATTCTAGTCTATGCATGCATCGATCAGTGCTACTCCTACAGAAGTGCTCTGAATACTGATTCGGGTTGAATAGAAGTTAGGATAACCCATCAGGAGGTAATGGCTGCAGATAAAGGCCCGGGTACACTTCATTTTCCACGTTCTGCTCCATCTCACACAGTTGAGTGCTCCAGCCTTTCAAAGTATACTACTTTGGCCTTGAGCGCAAAAAGATGTGATCGCTGTATGCGCAATATCTAGTGGACTTTGTGTTTTTAAGCGTGTTTGTACTCACACTGTTTGCACGGACACAAAAATTGGTCAGCACGCGGACAGTCTTACACAGTCCCTCCTGTTTATGAAAATTACGTCAGGCGGACCGTTGCGGAACGCTGCTAAGTATACTTTGGGCTTAAATGAAAAGAGAGAGTATAGTATGTAATGAAAATAATATACTACTCATGCTGTTTCTTCGTATGCAGCAGTGTATGTACTATAGGTGAAGTGGGAGAAAATATTCTATTTCAGTGCTTTTGCGTTAAAACAGGTGTTTCAAAACCTCCAAGGACCCTCAAATACAGTATGATGAGATCCTTGTGTCCTGATATCCTGTTCCTAAAATATAAATGCAGCTATGCAGTAAATTGTCATGTATACTATGTGAGAAGAATATTATATGGATAGTTCACCCTTAAATAAAAATTAAGTTATAATTTACCCACCCTGGTGTTGTAATGCCGTATGCCCTACTTCATAAAAGGAGAATAAAAAATAAAAAATTCCCGCTCGCACTCGTCAAGATAAAGTTTGGTGAAAACCAAACCAAGATCCTGGTCTTGGCTTGGTCTCAACACACACTGGGGTAGGTTCAGGGTTAGTACCTAGTTATTACCCAGTAACTATAATTACTATAATAAGTACATAGTAAGTACATGGGTAAATAATTCAGTTTCACATGGATGTCCTATATATTGTAGTCTTTTTGTCAATTCGGGTTATTGTTAGCTTGATGAACCATAATAAAATGTTTCACAGCGTTGATTTGGTTTGAGCTGGTAAGTTGTCAATGTTCAAGGCTATAGGTGACATTTTTAGGTTGCACAATACCTTTAATGGGTTGCTTTTGTAATCGCTACTGACAGAATGTAGGCCAGTGTCAGGAGGTTATTGTTGTACCCGCATTTCAATGTCATTTGAATGTAATTACATGGAAATTTGGCAAACAAATGTGAAATGTTAATGTCCGTTTTGAAAAATGGAACAAATGTCTGGCTCCCGCTTAGGTGCAAAGCTTTTGAAAGACTGTCTCCATATTCGATTCAAAATTCATAGACCTTGACCCCATCAGTCTGTGGCTCACCGACGAGCATGCTGGGAAAGGTGAATTACACAACTGCAAAAGACTTCCTGAAGAAAAATAACGCTCAAACAGTGAGTTTCAGAGGGAACGGAGGGGTGCAGACTGACAGAGTTGGAGAGGAGAGAGAAACAGTGGGATACAAATTTGAAAGTAAGAAAAAGAGAGAAAATGTCAGGGAGATTATGGGGTGTAGATAAATAGGAATACAGGTAGAGAGGTAGGCGTTGGTTTGGGCTTTATGAGAAGTCTGACTGACAGCTTTTGATAGATGTGAGGTGAGTGCTTACTCTTGTATGAATGGAGCCCATGCGGTGTGGAGGCACAGTGGGCCATGACAGCATACTGGACTAAATCCAGACATGAACCAGGACAATAGATTACGACTGTGATCTCTCCCCCCTAGCCACTCTTCTCAGTGTGACTTCTGTAATAGGAGAAGCCTTGCTCCTTTCAACAGCTGGCGTTTTCACAGGCCACTGTAAGTCTTCTGACATAAAGGTCCCTCATAATGGATGAACCTCAGAGCAGATGTGATATAAGCATCACAATCTGCACTAGGTCACACCACGTAGTCTCACGGAACCAGACTTTTGACATCAGCATAAAGTCTGGTCCATTTTGCAGCCTAATCTGGCCAAGAACCACCCACTCAGCACGTCTGATTGACATGGAAAAGCGTTGTGGGTTTCCATGTTTTATGTGGACTTTCCATAGACGTAATGGTTTTTAAACTTTACAAACTCAGAAAACTTTCTGCTATTTTAGATTAAAATAAAAGATAATTCTGTATGATTTATAAGCTTGTTTTCTCATTGAGACCAAACAATTGTCCCCACAAGGTCAACATTTACTGGTATTATTATACTTGTGGGGATATTTGGTGTCCTGGCCTCATTCATTTACATTGTAAGTGTTTAAAGTAACCGAGTTTGTGGGAATCAATATTATCCCACTGTCCTGGTCTCTTTGATTGGGCTCAATTTGTTTTGAACCCAGAATATTACTTTAACAAATATTGCTTTGAAACCAAAATATAAGAATATACAGTTCTGGTCAAGGGTATTTAGTGCCCAATTGTCAAAATTTGACTAAGAATGGTTTGCACCTCCTGATACATTTGTTAATTTGCATATGCTGTCTGCATTGTTTTTGCACCTGGTACACTAAATGAATCATGCAAATCTGAGTGCTACTGTAGGTTGTGAGGGATGCAGCAGACTTCCAATATCTGTTGTACTTTGCAGTATCTCTTCACCACTGCATACCAGGCACTGCACGTCTGGATGTGCCCATTTCAAAGGTCCTTCTTAACCAATTTATGAATTACTGCAAACAATTCTTAGTAACACATACAGTATATACAAACATCAACGCAATGCTAATTGTAACACTCAAAAAGTGACATCAACTGGGAAAAAAAGTTGATGTCACATGCATCATCATGCTTAAATCTGAGGTTACACTTTATTTCGATGGTCCACTTTAGACATTCTACTAACTATACAGTTGGTAGTCAACCAGAATGCCTATTACCGCCGTGCTAGCCGGCACGGCAAAGCCACCGCGGCAAAAATAAACCAGTCGCATTTCAAAGTCGTTCGCGAAATAACCGCCAAAGCCTTACGCAAACCCGCATTGATGTGACATTTTTCTATTGCAGTGTTTATGTTGAAATGTTTTCATTATTTATCAAAGAAAATTATGCTAATCGTAACAACCTACTGTAAGAGTATTTCTTAATTAATGGTACAACACGAATGCTGCCGACTAACATCGGTTAGCAAGTCCTGACAATGTTCCAATTTTACGATCATTTAGTTTAATGTATCTCACTGTTATGTTTCAGTTCATAAATCTAGGCCTACTAACAAATTAAAATAACACGAAGTATAAGACACATAACCTTGACATGCATAGCCTTTCTAAATTATGTAAAACTGGGCTCACAATGTTAACGTTTAGCCTACTTTGCTTAAATTTGATGCAATAATAGAAGCCTACATTTGTTTCAGTTCCAAATTTGTACTGTAACTTCAGTATTGGGATTATGAATTTGTGTAACTACAATGTTTCACTTGAATTTATCTGCTACAGCGCTCAATGAGTAGCGGCAGATTACGCAATAGAGAGAATAAACTGACACTTTTCAAAGTCTGTTATTGTAGCTCCTCTTAGCGGTAAAAGGCAGCAAATACACATCCCTAGAAGTATTATTCTGGTTGAGTCCCAACTGTAAGTAACTTTGCAACTACACATCAACTAACTCGTATTAGGCTATTAGTAGACTGTTAGGTTAGGGTTAGGTATTAGGGTTTGGGTAAGTAGAAAAACTTGACATGTAGATGCAAAGTCTCTTATAGTCAGTAGAATGTGTGTTGAGGAGCATCAAATTAAAGATATTAAGCAGACAGTCTACTAATACTCTAATGAGAGTTAGTTGAGATGTAGTTGCAAATGTCTTAACTGGATCAAAATAAAGTGTTATACCAAATCTGATTATGTGATCTTTTTCTACAGGTCAAGTTCTGGGTGTGTGGATCTTCAAATGGAGTGCTATCTCTCTGGATTAGAGAGAACAGCACAGGACCCGAGGGTCAACGGAGTCTCTGGAACTCAACAAGCGAAGCTAATATGGGGAAAGGGTGGAAACTCATTACCCTACCACTCTTCGGTTTGGTGGATCTGTAAGTCTATAGTTACAACCATCAAATTTATGCTGAATATCCTCCATGGTCTGAGTGTGCACAGAGTTGTAACTTAATGGCATAATCAGGTAAACAATGACTGGAATGCTTCTGCTTAAGGAGAATTAATGCAAAATGAAGTTTTGGATACATATGCAAAAGTTTTCACTGAACTTTGAGCAAGCTGTAGACAATTACCTTTGGTTTCGCAAAAACCCACACATTTACTCGGATATCCTAATGAATCCCACTGGTGCCGCGTCCCTGCCTATGGGCCGGGCACAGCACTGCACATCCCGTGCTCACCTTATCACTCTCTCCAGAAGAAAAAAAACTGACAGAGGGAAAAAAATCAATGAAGAGGTTCACCATTCATCCACACTTTCACTCCAATTAGCAACTGCTCTTGACTTGTGAGAGTAAGGAGGGCCGAGGAAAATAGGAGGATGTTACATCTCTACAAGTTTGATTGGAATCTCATCTAACACTCACAAAACCCCCACAATTCCCCACGCCCCAACCTTCACTCTTGTTATCCAGGGTCTCGCTAATTCCAGTCCACAGAGGGAGATTAAAATTTCATTCCTGGCCTCCTTCCCCTTTTCTTGTTGTAGTTCCAATTTTTTTAGATTGATCTAACACTTCACAGCATAGCTGCAAAGCTTCATGCCCTATGACCCAAAGAGCCAATTCTTACACATTTATTATCATGGGAGATATTAGGGCAGGGGGTAACACTCCTCTCAGGGATTTATTCACAATCTGATGGGTTACTGTAGCCATAAATATACATTTGTGGTGGTTTGGAGATACACCTCAGCTAAAGAATGACACCTACATTTTTCTTCCTTGGAACACAAAAGTAGAGGTTTAACAGAACGCCCATTGTGCTGTTTTCCAACATATGAGAACCAATAAGATTTGACGTTAAACCTGCAGTGTGGTAAACCAGCATAAATAAAATTGTCAGTGCATATTCCAGTCTTCACATAAAGCTATTGTATGGCTTCAGAAGACTATAGCGCACAAGTCGTAGGGCCAGATTTACTTAACAGGGTAAATTAGCGAGAGAGCGAAAAAAAAGCACAGATGGGAGTGGAAACTTCTGTTGCGTGATCTACTGATGACGCACACATTAAAGAACAAAGATGCAGCCGAATCATTACCAGAATGAACAACGCAAATTAGCGTCTGGTTTAAGGACGTGCTTTTTTGGGGCATTAAATAATGGCACAATACCAGTAAATTGACTAGCGCAAACCTTACAGTTAATCACCTTGCATGATTCATTTAAATACTCTGCTCCCATAAATGTTGCATCTGAAAGGGAAACTTCTACAAATGCATATGCAATAAGCTCAGCCACTAAAATAACCCTGTCCACGCCTTTTCAGTGTTCAATTTTCACTGCGTATCTTTATTAAATCCTGACAGTAGTTTTTTTTTATATATATATGCCAAAAGAGGCTTTGCGCTGGTGGAAGCTGTTAGTAAATCTGGCCCATAGTGACAAATTTAACAGAATTTATTTGTGCTCTTTTTTGAGCTGCCTCAGTGCCCATTCATTATTAGAAGTATGGAAAAGAGCAGCCTGGATGTTCTGCTAAACATCTTATTTTGTGTTGGACTGACCAAATAATCTGGTTTGGAATGACATTATGAGCATGTTTACAGACATTTAATTTCTAGTGTTTATTGTTCCAAAGTGACTTAATAGCTATCCACTTTCTGCTGTGTGTCTCGACTTAAAAGATGTTTTCACTCTCTTTAATTGATCTCCCTTTTTCTCTGTCACACTTTAGGTTTTACCTGCAGTTCAGTGCTGATATTTCCTCTAGTGCAGGAATTGCATTTGCTGTGGACAACTTCACTCTGAGCATGGAGTGCTTCCTTGAAAGTGAGTGTTGCATTATCTTCACTATTTTCATTATCAGCCATTTTCCATCCTGAGATGAGAGAAGTAGCCATTTTAAAAATAAATAATTAAAATAACCGTTAACCATCCACTAATAGGTTTTTAAGTGGCCGGTTCCACCCCCTCCATTCAAGCTCAAATGCAGTTTTCAGGGAACTGACTTTGCCTAAAAAGAACACTATAAAACTGCTCTTGATTAGCATTAGTTATTTTTATTTTATTACAGTGCTTAGGGTGCCTGAAATTGATCCACTGTGGGCGTATCATGAGTATTTATTGACTGGTTGACTTTTTCTGGTTGACAGCAACTTTCTGTTCAGATTCAGGGTAGCTGGTGAATTGACAGAATTGATTCGGTGTGAGCTGTTAGCTTTTATAAATTCAAATTTAAAATGATGCTTTCATGCTTGCCATTACAACCTGGAAATATTTGCAGATGTTTGTACAGCTACCTGGAGATTATCTGTTATGTCCAAAAAACATGGTGCTCCTTTGTAAAGAAATAAATAAATAAACGTCATGACTAAAATGGCCTCTTGAATTTAAAATCATCACATTGTGAGGATCAAAGTGCCAGCCATCAAGAGAGAATTTTTCCTGCACATATTATTTATGTATGTTCAGGTTAAGCTGTCTGCTTTGCTGTGTATTATTGATTCTTAATGCAAGTAAACATTACTGAAATCTAAAACAAACTGCAATTACAGATATAAATGTTTTAAATAGCAAAACAAACAATTGTAAAGCCCTTTCCACTAGTTTTGTCAAGATGCTGGAATTTTGCTAAGAACAAATTGCAAATGGTAGCACACATAAATAGAATAAAATAAAGAGACAAATGAAATAAACAGGGCTTTAAGTTTTTCAGGTGGGTCTAACAGTAGTATTTAGGTTAGACATACAACAGAAATTAAATAAAGTAATCAAATGTAAAATAACACTGGATAGTTTTCATTATAATATGCCTACAAAAGTTATTCAGTCAAGAGCAGTGAGTGATTTTCTCTTTGTCTTTTGTTCTTTGATTAACATGACAGACAGCAGCAGGAATATTAGGCTGCTGTCACTTTAAGAGCTTATGAATGGATCCAATATACAGTTACACATGTGATTTACAGTTACTTACTGTGTTCACCTGAATACTGGCCAAGACGGGCATTTTGACATAATTTTCTGTGTATTGACCGTTAAAGCGCAATGACCCACAAAAAAGAGCTAAATTTCGATAGTCGTGAGCTGTTTGAGAGGCGGCTTTATGAGAGCATCACTTATATAGATCACTTTTGGTGTGACCGTGAAACCTGCAGGAATGAGTACAATAATGTGCAATACCAGCAACCCCGCTCCGAACTTCAGGACATAACATCCAACACTATTCAACTGCAGTGAATTCGACGAGTGAATGAGTGGAGGCGGGTGCATGTCAAACTGTCAATCACCATCGGAGAGAAGAGAGAGCGAGAACCTGCAGCTGGTATCCGTGTATCGATACTCCAGAAAAGGAGTATTAGAATCTTTTCAGATATTTCAGTATCGATACGTATATCTATATTTTTGACAACCCTTGTTCTTTGACAACTGCTTCTCGCACTGTTGCCAGGGTCTAGACAATTTGGATCTTCAAATGAAGATGAATTCATTGTGTGATGTAACAAAGATTGACAACACAAAGCCATGGATGTAGCTCAGGCCTGATGTTTCATACAAATCACTGACTGCTGAAGCTGGAACCAACTCTTCACACAGCGACTCTGACACACGTTGACTGAGATGCCGGTCACCGATGACACAAGAATGACAAGACCTTTTAGCCAGTACTAAGAAGACAAGAAAAGCATCCACTCGAGTTCCACATTTTGATTGTGCTGGAAATTGTGAGCCGTCTGAAAGGGCTCTTAAGGCGGATTTGAAGGAGATCAGCACAGGATATTGCACAGCTGGGAAAAGAACAGGAATGGGAATCATTAATGCAAACCTCTTGGATTAAACAGGATAAGATCTTTTATTTGTTGGCCTTATGGCGTCTCGCTTTTTTCTCCGAACGAGCCAATGTATTTACTTCAGCTTTTGGTATTTGGAATCTTCTTGGCACTGACTTTATCATACATTTGCCCTTCTAGACCCTGGCAACAGTGCGAGAGGAAGTGTGTTACTTCCCAGAAGGAGTGGATAGGGCTTTACAGTTGTTTGTTGTGCTGTTTAAAACATATTCATTTATAATTCCAGTTTGTTGTAGCTTTCAGTAATGTTTCCTTGCATTAAGGACCAGTAATACACAGCAAAGCAGACAGCTTAACCTGAACATACATAAATAATATGTGCAAGACAAATTCTCTCTTGATGCCTGGCACTTTGATCCTCACAGTGTGATGATGTGAAAGCATCATTAGACACGATGAGATGCATAAGATCTGGGTCTTAATCCCTATCCATTGGCGTGAGAGAGAGGGCCACTGATGTTGAATAGCTCACTTGGTCCATGAAATATTTGCCCAGCAATTTGTATCTGACGCCATTTTCTGCCACACATCGATTCGAGACGGCTGCCATTTATTCCACCCTTTCTGCCATTTCCCTTTCCGATGACACTTGGGAATGTGTGGAGTTATATATTATGCCCTCGTTCCCTGGCTAAATTAAATATTATAGCTATACATCATCACACTGGGGTTTGCGGTACCCATCCAGCAGTGTTTCCTAGGGTAAGCAGTGTGCATCATTGGCATGACTGATTTGTTTAAAATGTAATTGTTGAAATTTTGTACAATCCACATAACATGCTTTTCAGTTCCCATAGGAAAGATAAATCAATTGTTTTTTCCTAGACAGCAAGGAGATAGAATGGATGAATTTGAGATTTTTCTTCAGAGAAAAACGCTGTATTAATCTCACATCTGTCTCCTCCAGAATTTCAGAAAAAAATCTAATCTCAGTGTCATAAATGGTGCTCGGGTTGGCAAAGATACCAAAAATTAGCAATTAAAGAGATTTTGGTAACACTTTACTGTAAGGTTGTATATTAAGTAGTTATTCCAGTAGTTAACATCGAATAACAAATACCCAGTGGTAACGCATTACAAATAACATGATGCTTATTGTAGTTCTAGACTAAATGTGAGCATTTACTCATCTCACTTGCCCAAAAAAAGATTCAGTATGCCTCAAAAGGAATAAAGTGCAATTCAATATACTTTATGTATTTAATCTCACTTTATTTACCAAAATCTTTGCTGCTGTCTTTTAATGATCCAATTCAACCATATAATAAGCAAAAATGGCTTCAGATAAACATCACATTTGTGTTTCATTTTTCGTTTTTATTGCTGGAGTAAGAGTGTTGAACTTTCTTCTCCTTATTCTTCTGCGATTCAGAAAGGCAGCACAGCTGAAAGGTTAGTTTGAGTGGCGCCCTCTAATGTTCAGGCGTGAATTTGTATTTCCTTCAGCCTGAGGTTTATTCATTTCACTTTTGGTTTGAAAGGGCCTTTACATTTGCCCAAAGAAATTTTTTTTTGTTATAAAAAAATTAATAATTATAATAAATAAATAAAAAACAAGTCCAGCCCAGGTGAGAGAAAGTAACCCCAAAATAGTGTAATGGATTACTTTCCATAAAAAAATAACCAAGTAATGGATTTAGTTACTTTTTTAGGGAGTAACACAATACCGTAGTGCACTACTTTTAAAAGTAACTTTCCCCAACACTTCAAATAACAATACTTTCAAATGTTTTTTAACATATCAAGTGGTATTAGCATCAATGTATTATACATGAACATGAAATCAACCAACGCTATCTCACGACCAATTCGTACGAATTCGTACGAGTGAGTTATAGGTGGTTAATTCGTACAAGTTCGTTCGACCTCAGTCGTGTGTGATTTGTATAAAAACCCCAGTGATGGGTTGGTTTAGGGGCGGGGTCAGGGGTAGGTCATTTGTACGAAATCATACGAATTGGGCAACTCGTAAAATATGTGTGATTTAGCTAAAATCGTACGAATTCGTAGGAGTGAGGAAAAAAATAAAACTGAATCACTTTGAATGATTTCAGCACTAAAATAATAAGGAACTCCCGCACACTATCAGTACTTGCAAGTAATATAAAAATGTTTTATTTGCAACGTTTCGTGATTGATTTGTTCTTATTTACCTGTTCTTAATGAGCTTAAGTGGCTACAGATGGAGCTTTGTTGATTGGTCATGTGTTTATTTTAAATGGGATGAGTTTGAAGATTTGTATATGCCTGGTGAAGGTCGTGAGACCGAAACGTTGCAGATAAAACATTTTTATATTACTTGCAAGTACTGATAGTGTGCGGGAGTTCCTTATTTGCAGATTTGTCGACCTACCTATTTGGTCTTCTTTTTCTACGCACATATCACCTGCAGGTGTGCGATGGTGTTTGCTAATTGAGCACTAAAATAATAAAAAAAATAATTTTAGTTCTAAGTCTTAGATGCATGATTTGTTTTAAATGTGAACTTGAAATGATACCAGTTAATCCTTTAGTAGCCATAAATTGCTAAAACTGAATTCAGACTGAATAAACTAGACAGCAAAATGTAAACTAACGAAAACTAAATATGGCGTTTAAACTAAACATCAAACGATTTTTCTAAGGAGAAACAAATGGTAATGCTTAAATCAAACATATTAAACAAATCATTAACATGTTAATTCATTACAATTCAGTAACAGCAGCACAAATTCTCAAAGCCTGAGCTTTAAAACTAAAATCTGTAGGACAGTTGCCTGGAGGACTAGATGACTGCAGCTGAAAAGCCCTGGTTTAGTGTTTAAAGCTCAGAGCTGGTAACCAGAAAGCTGCTTTTATCCCCACAAATCACAAGCTATGATCCTTCAACATTGTTTCATGGTGCAAGGCTCTTAACCCTTGGGTGGTCCAATTGGACTGCCACTAATGAGCTTGTCATGTCATTCTAAAAAGTGCATGAACAAATTTATGCAATGTCATGTG